TAAATATACAGGTCTTAAATTAAATTGGTACAATGTATTCAACCTGCAAGCAGGTGTGCAAATATATTGGAATTTATTGGTACAGGTAATTGAAGTTAATTAAAATGTCAAATATTTCTAAATTCAAAGTATTCCTTATTACTATAGAAGCAATGTGTCATAAGCCATCTTGTCAATTGTAGTTTAAAATTATGTCCGTGTAGTAATTTAATGTCACTTGGTAAATTATTAAAAATCTTAATGCACATGTTGTAGCAGTTATTTGTGTTAATTATTTTATGGCAACGAGGTTGATATAATTGATTCATAATTTTAGGCCGTGTTTGTCTTTGAAATATTTCGCCACATATTTTAAAATGTTTAGGATTAGTCTTAACAAACACACAGATGTCTCTGATATACATACAGGGGAGAGGTAAGATGTTTAGTTTTTTAAATAGGGGCTTGCATGTGTCATCTGCTTTAGCGCCACAAATTGCGGGAATGCATTTTTTTTGTATTATAAAAACCCTACCTACATCTACGGAGTTCCCCCACAGTATAAGCCCATAACTTAATACAGAGGAGACGTAACCGTGATAAGCCATCATTGCAGCGTCATGAGACAAGTCCCACGTGCCTGTAATTTCACCAGAATACCGTTCGAAATCGGAACGCAGTAATGTTCACATTACTGTTTGGCGGCAGTAAAAGATAAGGACAGTACTTTACTGGACGAACTCTTTCACAAGGAGTTCTACTGCTACTAAATAGAGCTGGTGAACTTACACACACATGGGTTTGTCCACATATGTCTCAGGGTGACGAGCGCAGTGGCAGTGCCTATCGGCTCTTAACTGGCTCTTAAATTGCTACGGACAGGTATGTCGTTTACCACCAGGCGCAGGACTTGTTCGTTCCGTCACATGGTATCTATACAAAAAATAATAATATCTCCTGACTCTAAAACTTACTCAAGTAACTTGAACCTTTAAGGAGGTCATAATTCAATTTGAAATATGGTTTTGAAACATTCCTAAAGAGAGCCATTATGTGTAACAAATGTGTGACCCACTTGAAATTGTCGTTGCGGCGAAAATATAGTTTGGGTCAGTGGTTTGCAACATTTGGTGTTTGGTAAATTTTGATTGAAACAATTTTTTCGGATCTGCATTGCGTATATTCGTTATTACAAATAAACCAACGCTTCGGGCCCTTTACAGTTCTCATGGTCACGGCTGATTGAGATGGTAAAGTAATCAAGTAGTTAAGTCTAATATTAATGCAAACCACCCTGTTTTTTCCAGTTACGAAAGTTGTTAATTAATTAGGTACCTTATTTTAATTTTCTAAAGAACATTCCAATTTACGCTACAATGCTTTAAGAAAATATTTTATTTTTAATTAATTTAAAATTAATAGACAACCTAAGATTGAAGAGGACACGAAGCGTTAGTTTGTTTGAAAAAAGAAACAAATATACGCGATTTAAAACCAAAAAACATAGTTTCGTTTCCTTCGTGTAACAATCGTTAAAGCGTATAAGAACTCGAAAATTATACTAGTCATTAAAACAAATAAATGGCTATTACAAAAAAAGAAAATTATATGTATATTAAACAGATAAATAAAAGGAGAAAGTGGTTTTCGCTTTTTGTGAAGATTTTTAGTTACGACCTTCAGTGGCGTATGCAATATTGTCCCTGGCCGAGGAGGTCCCCGATTCGATTCCCGGTAGGACCATTTGGGAAAATAAACTTTCCGTTGGCAGAGTGTTCTGGATAGTGCTCCGTAGTGGACCTCTGCGTGGCAGACTAGCTTGGTTCGGCCGCGTTCGGCCTCGGAGGCAGTTTGTATATTATTTATCACTTTATAATGCGCTACACTAGCTGAAGACATCGTAAAAGGTTGAGAATCACTGGATCAGAGCTGTGTTACAACGAATACATTGTGAGTGCAGTGCGTGACATTTAAGGTTAACAAAAATCATGACGTCGTATAACAGTGATTTTTTTGTTAGAAACGGTTCACGAGGCAAGGGCGACAATAATTTTCAAAGCCATAAGTCACTTGTAATGATAACCTTAAATTGGTTACTTAGAACGACGTTAAAATTGTTTAGCTTAATACCGAACTTGATAAATCCACTGTTTTGTACGCAAACGGGTTAATTCTTGAATGAGCTTGAGGCGGTTGGACTGCTATGGCGTGACGCTTCCAGCATGCAGATAGCGGTCGGTTCGCCGGTTCTTGAATCTGAGCCCCTGACCTCTGCCGACTGTGCTACCCAGAGCTTTAAATCGCAAAGACATTAAGGGCAATGCCACTGCGCCCGTCACCCTGAGACATAAGTTGACAAGTCTCTTGTGTCTGTAATTACACCAGCACCTTTACTATTCCAAACAGGAACGTTTATATGGTAAGAACAATTGCAGTCTATATGGTAACTGAATACTTGCGGGCTAGGGCTTATTTTTGTGCAGTTAAGATGTAAATTGGCATATTAGGTCGATGTTAAATCGAGTTCTTGCTACCTACACACCAATGAAACTATATATAAGTACCTGGGTAGCTACGCAATTATAGATACGAAATAATATTTTCATAAGCAAAACAAAAATTTCAAATAATCGTCCAAATCCAATATTAGGTTAAGTTCTAAAATGATAATCACGAATCGGAATAGGTAGACTTTTTTACCTAAATTTTGAGGAACATAGACAGAAAATGGAGACTGCCTTACGACAATCTTTTTTAGGTCCTGGATTTGTTCGGGATTCGGGAAATCACTTAAGTACATTAAAAATTGACGTAATTAGGGACAGGCAGGTACATTACAATATTTATCTTGACTTTGCGACACAGTGGGTCGGATCAGCGATATTGCGGACATTGGATTTTTTCACCATAACTCTCTAAAAAAATACCAGTCGAGAGATCCTATTGTCCTAATTAAATGTTGTCATATCACATTTTGCCATAAATCTAATAGTTTAGCAGGAAAATAGTAAAATGTGTATTTTTTTGTATGGGACCATGCTTTTAGTGCCCAATCGTTACAAAGTCTTAGTCGATCCAGTCTTGGAATCACTACAGACGCATTATTAGATCTATTTTCTATAAATTTGCACATTAAACGCGCACTCAAACCTGCCTATTCACTACTTACACTTGTCAGGAAACTGGCTTCTTTGAAAAATATGCGCGATTTAAGTCCGGAAAAATGGTTTCATTTCCTATACGAGTTACTATGTTCACGATTTTGTTAGATTCTGCTTTTTTCATGAAAAAGTAGAAGTTTGTACGAGTCGTTTAAAAATTAGCCCCGTGGAGGAAAAACATGGGATCCATGGTCTGAATTAAGGCTACGCAAAAAAAAACATTTCGCTTTAATAATTTCATAAAAAAGGCCTTAGTATGGTTTCTGGGTTCGCACCTTTTGAGCTTTCGGTAAAGGAAAACATCGACATTGAAACCTACACGTCGAAGAACGTTCATAAACATAACACACAGAAAAGGTGTGAAGTTCCCGTCCCGTATTGGCCTAAAACCTCTCTTGGGGGGGACCCGTGCCCAGCAGTAAAACGTATAAATGATCTGTACAGGGCTAACTAGTGACATCTATCAACTAATAGAAATATTTAGGCGTCATATAACCAAAACACCTATTATCGTCTTTCAAAGAAATTGATAAGGTGATCGATTGCTACACTAGCGTCACTCAAGCAAGAAGTACTCTAAGACACCGCTAGAGTGCGCTGTTATTAAAATTTGGCAGTGATTTGATCTCATCGAAACTTGGTCATCTAAAATTTCTAGTTATTTTCCCTGTTTGGCCTGATGGTTGACTCGTAGAGATACATCATGGCAAAACATCTGGAAGTCCTGCAGCTAGAAAACTGAGAATTTTGTTCAAATTTGCGTACATTTGTTTCTTTAAACAATGTTCCGGGCCTCTAACAGCAACTTCATTTTGATTGCCTCTTCCGAGTCGAGGCGCATAATTGCGATTCACAACTGGCCGATCGGAAACTTTGACATTTCAAATCGAAACAATAGTTGATTTAACTCACAAATTAGAAAGATATATTAGGAATCAGGTTCATCTTCTCGCACCGAAACCTATCTGATTTCGAGACTCGGATTCCGATTTCAATTAATGTCAGTGCAGCCTGCTGGTCCCATGGTCACTGATATGCCGTGACAAATATACTATTTAGACCCGAAAAAATATATTCATTTCCTACGACATGTAACAAACGCGAAAACCTAAGAACTCGATTTGTGCAACGTTATCTTTTTTATGATTAAAATGCTTAATTGTAACTTTTTTATTAAAAGAAAACCGACCTCAAAAGTTCGTGGAACTACATTTAATTGCCGAGTTTTATTGAAATCGGTTACCGGAAAGTGCACGAAACCAGATTCATTCCCTAGTTTGTCACCTTCTTTCCAACAAAAAAGAATCATCAAAATCGGTTTAAAAAAACTGTCAAAATGAGACCCCTCTTTTTTAAAATCGGTTAATAAATGCGCATTTGATGGGGTCGACGATGAAGCATGCACACTTTCACTTTGAAAAGTGCCAAGTTGTAGCGTTCAGGGAACAAAGCTGCAGGCAGGGACTTTTACTCTAATGTTCATCGAAATCTACTTCGTGCATTCGCATATCGATATTGAGAATAATAATAACGCGCACACTTTACATAGCCCCGCTCTAGGGAAACCCTGTGTCCCTGGTGCCACGGACACACACATGGACAACCATAAATTACACCAAAACTCACGAGAGAAATAAATGTAGGCCATACAAAACTTTATTTCGGCCCGGGAATCGAACCTGGGACCTCTGCGTGGCAGTCCGGTATGGTAACCGTTCGGCCACCGAGGCAGTTATACCCACAACATAGGGATGGAACCCTAGCCTACGACTAGTCCCCCGATGATAACCACAACTTTAAAAAAAGTACCACGTGTCTGTCTTACACATTTTTGCATAAAACAGAAAAATATTGTTGCAGATTCGTGTACCAGCAAGTCTCTAACAATCACTCAATACCTCTTTCACGTCGCGTTAGGGGTCGTCATATGGACAGCACTGGAGTACAGCCTACATCGATGGGTTTTTCATTTGGATCCTGGAGCTTCTGTTACTATGATTAAGATTCATTTTTTAATACATGGAATGCACCATAAGGTAAGTAGACTGTTATATGTGTTTTGGACGAAACTTCGCAACCTTAACTCTTTGGAACTTTGGTTTGACGACGCCATTATTTGGAGAGCAAATTTAATCACTGTATTCGGGCCCGGCCTGGCAACATGCCTATAAATGGCTTCTTATATTTAATGAGAAGCGTTCCTGCCCCAATTGTACTAAAAGTGATGAGGATGTGTCTGTTGGAATATAGGAAACGGAACAATATTTATGATCTAGATTACTATTTGGCAGAGTTATGTGTTCATTACACTGTCATATCCACAGACATATATCTAGATAGACGCCGCAAGTGTACGTACTTCGCGCGCCCAGAGTAAGTGAAATTCACTTACTTGCCGCTGCGCTGCTACACTTCAGAACACGCTCGACCGCTATCGTAGATAAACACCAGTCGAAAACGCGAAAAATGCATAATTGTGCCATTATAAGCAGCAAAAGCGCTACAACTGTGGGCAAATGGGAAAACAGGAACGTTTCCTTCAGAAAATGCATAATTTATTTTAAAAACAATTATTTTGGTTTCATATGAATTTCGAGAAAACAATTATGCAACCGAGTGTATGCCTCATGTATTTGCGCAATGTATTTGTAATACATTGCGGCTTTTATTTGGTGCGATATATTTGTGATATCCTTTTTACGCCATGAATATTGAACGAACGTACTTTTGTATAATGCATTCAGTTTCGTGGTACGGCGTATAGTGATGTATACGTTAGGCAACACTGTTCTCGATTCTGGTCGATTTTGAAAACAAAGGGACGAAAATTATTATGACCTTAGAAATATAAAAATATTCCATAACTCTTTTGTTATAACGTTTCGTTTTTCTTTTCAGTTTTGTAGTATCTATTATCAGTAGAATCTGTAACTTCGATAATTTTTGCAGCACGTTGCCTCGAATGTCCGAATATAGTGAGCAAATAATTACATACAGCGCCGGAAAGAATTAACAGTGCGCTGTCTTTACAAAAATCTGGAGTTGGTCATACGTATGAGTTCGTTGCTTACGAGGACGAAGGTGGTCTAGTTTATCCCACCTAAGATGCTATCCAAATATGCAGAGTAGCAGAGTTAGGAATCCGAGAAATAATAAACAAATCACAAAAATTAAACACGAAGCCGTCATTAAGTAAACCTCTATTGATTAATAAGATTTTACCATATATTGTCAGCAGTAACATTTTCATTTGTCTTGGCATTCATCAATTTGATCAATTACCAAAAGAAAACCATCTAGTAAAATTAATTATGCAGTCGCAGTTCATATAGTTATAGTTTTCATTATTTAAGTTAATCGATAAGATCTTCTATTACAAAAAGATGTTGTATAATTAGCTCATTTAATTGGAAGGACAATAATTTTAATATATGAAATCGATTAAAAATTAAAGTCTTAATTTTTTAAAGTAATCAATATTTAAAAAAAAAAGGACTTAACTATGTTATTCTGGTATTTTTCTACTATATTAATATTGCGACTACTTGTAATCAACAAATACTTGAACGAAAATTATTCTATTTAGAATCGATTAATTGAGTGGAATACGCGTGTTTACGCGTATTCCGTTCAATCAATCGATTGAGAGCGAGCGGAAGGTTTTCATCACTAAATAGTTCTTGTGACGTCATAGTGTGTTTTGTACCCATTGGTGTACACAATGTGACACGCTTGGTTTTCATATATGTATGGTATACATATATGTCTGTGGTCATATCTTTGCAGGGAATCAAAATTGACTGATGCTGGAATTTAGTGCACGCACGCACGCACGCACGCACGCACGAACGCGCGAACGCACGCACGCACGCACGCACGCACGCACGCACGCACGCACGCACGCCCGAGCCCGCCCGAGCACGCCGAGAATAATAACTTTATTAAAATATTTATACAATTTCCTTTTTATTATACCAAGTGACGGGACGAACAAGTCGTGGGCCTGTTGGCAAGCGACACACCATAACAGTTGCAGTGCTACTCTGAGGGACAGTGCCACTGCGCTCGTCACCCTGACTGTGTGTATGTGTGTGTGTGTGTCTCTGTGTTTTAACCTGTTGCCGTAGACGAAGAGAGTAGTGTTTTTAAAGCAAGTGTTCTAGTAGATCTTCGGTTTCCTCATACGATTTGGAGTGTAGCCATTTTGATATAAGTTTCTTGCAGTCTCTATAACTTTCGGCGTATATTTCTAATTTCTTATTCATTAAATTATACAAATGTGCCGATCGATACCACAATGTCTTTCCTTCTCCTCTTCGAAATATTTAGATCATGTAAAGATACTTGGCCATAACTTTTTTTTATAAAAAAAAACTGACCTCATAACTTTGTGGAATTACATATAAATAAACCGAATTCATCCCCTAATTTGCCACGCTTAGAGATGGAATATTTTGTTCAAATTTAAATGGGACCACTACTTATGTACCTTTCCAACAAAAAAAAAATCGAAAAAAATGCGGTTGAATTGAGAACCACCAACTTTCTTTTCATTTTAAGTAATAATGTAACCGGTCCGGCCAAATCACGGCCAAACATTAAGCATACAAACATATCGCACTGTTAATACAATAGTGTATTAACTCATAATGGGTATTTTTTTGGAATCGATGAAAACGAATTACTCACTTCTCGTGAAAGGTTATTATTATTAAAATGTATGCATAAGTTAAAGTTTATTACAGATATCTAAATAATTTCCTACTTGCCAAATATATTTACAAATAAAAAGGAAAAAATAATTTATTATTTATGAGTAAGGACTGTTTCTTACAATATCCTATCGAAGGTTTATGGACGTGTTGAGATTCAAATTTTACGTCCAGCAAGTATAATCTTGAATTTCACATATTTTGAATTATAACACTATTGTAATAGCAGTGCGATATTAAAGGTATTTTATATTTACATGCACTTCAACAGTCTAAAACTAGACGTAACATATTTTGTAACAATATCACATGGACGTACAGTCGTACACACATGGATGTAATAAGTCAGCAATTTATACGCGGTGATAGTCATATGGGTCAATTTTAATGATAATAATCATAAAATGTAACCTTATGCATTCGCTGATAAGTGAAGTATTACAAAACAAAACCATTAATATAGCAAATACTATTTACCTATGTACACCGTAATGGGTAATTCGGCTTGCATAGGTAGCAGTACGGCTCACATAATGATATGATTCAAAGTTACATACGGGTACATTGTAAGTATAAATAAATACATAACGCACACACTCAACATAGCCCCGCACTAGGGAAACCCTGTGTCGCGGGTGCCATGAACACATACATAGACAACCACAAATTACATCCGAACTCACGAGAGACATAAATGTAGGCCATACAAATATTTCTCCCGGCCCGGGAATGAAACCTATAGATCGAATCCAAAGTATAAATTATTATAGACAATAACAACTACAAGTATTATTTACGTACAATACGAGTACATGTACCCTGTTAGGGAGTAGCTAAACATTTATTAAAAGGAAGGAAGGACACCCACGTTGCGTCTCACGTCGCGTTCCATACGTGTAAATAAATAAATAAATAAATAGTATATTATTTTGTTTATTTTTTATTTTTTTATTTATTTAGGAAAACATACAGTCTTATACAAATGTTACATATAAAAACATTAAAATTACTAGCAGACCAGATTGTTCCAATAAATAATTACGAGTAAAAGAAAATTTGTACAACGGACAACAGTATAGATGACATCCAACAAAAAAGAAATTAAACAATATAAGGTTATGCATTAGGTGCTCTGTGAAATATAATATCTCCCACTTTTCGCTTATACTTTACCAGCGATAAAGAGAACATATCGACGTCTTTCAGGTTGTCGTTATAGTACCTACACGAGCGTCTAATAAATGAGTTTCTGGCGTACTTTGTAGAACATTGGTAACAATAAAAAGATTTTTTGGAACGTGAGGAGATTCTTGGAACATAGAAATTAATCAATTGTAGTAAGGAAGCAGAGTCTATATTACCATTAACTATTTTATATAGGAAAATTTCATCCAAGAAGACACGTCTGTTAACTAGGGAATCTATATTATACCTTTTACCGGCAGTTTCATAGTCAACAAAGAAATTCCCTGTTCGGTAGTCTAATGATTTTAGAAATTTGTTTTGAACTTTTTCAATGCGTGCAATATGAACGGTGTATTGGGGGCTCCATACGACACATGCAAATT